TTAATAAAATGGATTAAATAACCTCATTTTCTAGCAGAATTTTTTTGTGAAATATTTTTCAACTTATTTTTATTATTTTATATACTTTGACGGCCTTTTGCATTTTTAATACAACTTAATCTTTTTCCAACTTAGACAACTAATTAATATAATCAAAACATTTTTATGGATGACAAAGAAGTGAGTTGTAAGTTTTTTTTTTGCAACTGTTTTGATGCAGAGTGCAACAAAATAATGTGCAAGTACAAGGTTATGAAAAACAAAAATTAGGCCATTAAAAAAAATTACAATTCACTTAAAGTTGTCCATCTCGTTATAATGCTGAAAAGAAGGAAAACAATTGTTGAATCACAATCTAAACAACTCTAAGTTGTTGAAACAAAACACATTATTATAGATACAATTGTAATGCACTTATTTAACATAAAAAATATATAGTTCAATCAGAATTTTTCAGAGTAATTCAATTTTTGAATGTATATGCAGAAAATTAAGTGTTGACATTGTGATTTTTAATGCAAATGATATGCTAGAGAAATTAAACATATGACACTTTTTTCCTTTTTAATCAATGCTAATGAGAATTGTACTGCAAATTCTGCCTATCAGAAAAGGACAAAAATGAATTGGACCCAAATTGCTTTTGACATCATACATAACACTTTGGACCCAAACCATTCTTGTGTTTTTTGTATGCTTTTGTAGTTAGTGTAACACTAGGACACCCTTAAGCTATTTTAACTTCATCAGATATGGAAACTCAAAGTTTGTCCACTTTAAGTTGAGAAATATATATTCTCTATGTGCTCGTCAAATTATATGTCAATGGCATTGCTCTAAGTTAAGACATATGAACTAATATTATGTAGCTTTTAGATCATCTATAGTCCTGAACTAAGTAAGTCTACAGTCTCAAACAAAGTAAGTCTGCAGTCTCAAACTAAGTAACTCAGTTGAATCAACTACAAAATAGAACTAGTTTTAAAGTTGCATTTGTAGTAAATCTACACTTCACTTATATGCAATCTTGTTCAAAACTATTTGTAAATGCTTGTCAATTACCCAAAAAAATCAAAGATCACTCAAAAAAAAAATTAAGCTCATCAACCAATCACAAACA